CTCTCTGTCTCTCATTCTCTCTCTCTCAAATAAATAAATAAAATCTTTAAAAAAAAAATTTAAGTGAAACAGACATGGCTAAATTTTGACAACGAAAACATCTAATATATTAAAAATACATTTGCAATTCTCTACTATTCAATCTCCATCTGGTTGCCACTGTAAAGAACCATTATCTTTAAGCATGTTGTGCCTGTACACGTATATATAAGCAGATTTAAGAGGAACATGAATTATGGACTATTTGCCAAATATTGCTCATGTCGTGTTGCCGTGGTTGCAAACACTGTCCTATTTTGTGAGTGCCTCTGGAGCCTCGGCCTGTGGGGAAGCAGGGAGCTGGATGTTGGGCCCGGTATTGGTGCTTCCATGTGTGGATTTTCTCTGCATTTGTGCCTCTGAAAGGCAGGATTAACATGCTCGTTTGCCTTTCCTTTACTCTAAGCATCTTGACTGCCCGGTTTCTCCCCACACTCCAAAGTGGTGTCTGTCTCTGGCGTTGGCCGTGTTACGGTCCACAGACCTGCAAGGCACCTGGAGGCCGTTGTCTTATTTCAAGGATGTGGGGCAAGAGGAGTGCAGAAGCATTTTCCTGGAGCCGGAGGTGTCAGTCACAGGAGTGTGTGTTGAGGGTTGCCGATCTCACCGTGTCGGCACTGAAGCCTGATGTCAAGTGGCACAGTGACCACGTGTTCTTTCATAAGCTTCTAGTTTGTGTTTAAGATAATGGAGCCCTTGAAGATGCAGGGCCCAGGGAAAGGCACCTCTTACTCCGGTCTGAGGACGGTGCCAAACATATCCAGCTGTTACAGCCAGGACATGGCCAACTTGGTTCTTTATGTCAAGAAGCAAATGTTGCGGAAGAACTAGGACCACCGTACTTGGCCGTTGGTGCACTTGGACCTGTGCACCTGGAGAACGCCCACAGGTCTTGTCAGCCCAGTTCAGGGGAAGTGTCAGCTGTATGCACATCTGGCAAAACCAGAGCTGAGAGTGGTAGATACTCTTGTCCCAGTAGAACTTCCTAGTGCAAGTGATTTTGACTAGTAGGTTTTCCTTT